CCGACACTGGTGCCTTGGAGCCGTCCCAGCTGGGAGTGGGCAGTGGGCTCCTGGGAGGCTGGGGGCAGCCGGTCTGTGTCGCAGCTGGGGCGGCGTCCAGTGAGCTGGCGCCCAGACCGGCTGCCCAGGACCCGAGGGCTGGCCTCCCCCTAGGTACACCGCAGCCTGCTCCCGGCTCCTGGTCCAGTACAAAGCCGCCTTCCGGCAGGTTCAGGGCTCAGAAATCAGCTCCATCGAGGAGTTCTGCCGCAAGTTCCGTGTGAGTGAGCCAGCGCGGCCCCACACGCGGGAGGGTGGGGGTGGGGCCCCAGGAGGCCCAGCACCCACCTCCGCCCCACCCCCAGCTGGACTGCCCGCTGGCCATGGAGAGGATCAGAGAGGACAGGCCCATCACCATCAAGGACGATAAGGGCAACCTGAACCGCTGCATTGCCGACGTCGTCTCGGTGGGTGGCAGAGCCGGGAGGTGGGCCGTGTCCAGGGGCTCTGATGCGCCCCGCTGCCCACGAGGGGCGCGCACGCTAGTCTCCCGTGTGGGGTCCCCCGGTTCTCTGGGCAGCCAGGACCTGCCGCACCCACGGCCCCAGGCAGGGCGCAGGGTGCAGGGCTCAGTGAGGCCAGCAGGGCCCCGGGCGGGCTGCAGAGGTCTCCCCACCCGGGGCGGCCCTGGGAGCCTCACGCGCCCGCCCGCCGCAGCTCTTCATCACCGTCATGGACAAGCTGCGCCTGGAGATCCGCGCCATGGATGAGGTGCGGGGCGGGGCTGCCCGGGCAGGGGGCCGGGGTGGGGGGCCGGGAGGGGGCAGGGCCGAGCTGCCGCCTGCACGCCTGCACCGCAGATTCAGCCTGACCTGCGGGAGCTGATGGAGACGATGCACCGCATGAGCCACCTGCCCGCCGACTTCGAGGGCCGCCAGACGGTCAGCCAGTGGTGAGTGCCCCCAGCCCGGCCCAGCTGCCCGGCGCCCCGGCAGCCCGCCGACACCCGCCCCGCCGGGCACTGTGCCTCCCCAGGCTGCAGACGCTGAGCGGCATGTCGGCCTCCGACGAGCTGGACGACTCCCAGGTGCGCCAGATGCTCTTTGACCTGGAGTCGGCCTACAACGCCTTCAACCGCTTCCTGCACGCCTGAGCCCGCCCTGTGTCCCCGTGGTGGTTCCCGCGCCTCGTGCCCTGTCTGTGTGTGGTACCAGGACCCCAGAGACCCTGCCCCACAATAAAGACGCTGTGTCCCTCCGCTGCGGGCAGCTCACCCCTCAGCCTGCTGTGTGTGTTGCCTGCTGGGGTCCTGTGAGCTCAAAGGCCGGGGAGAAGCCTCCGCCTGAGTTGGGTGCCCTCGGAGTCTCAGGCAGGAGGCACACCTGAGAGCCCTGGGCACAGCACTGCGCCCACGGCTGTCTCACCTGCCTGTGGAGTTCTGGGGGCACCGCACCCAGGGGCGCTGCAGGAGCCACACCTGGCCTCAGTGGGGCAGGTGGAGACAGACACACAGATCACAGCCATGGGGCAGGTGGAGACACACAGATCACAGCCGTGGTATGCCGGCCTGCGGCACAATGAACTGGGTCTTCCTGAAACAGAGAGTGGGAATGTGGGGACAAGGACGCAAAGAATGGAGCCAAGACAAGTCCTGATCAAGGCTCGTTTATTGAATAAATCCAGTAGTATTTAAACATGACCAGTTGTTTACAAGAAGGAGCACAAAAGATTTACATATCAAAACGGCTCTTAAGGTTACAATAAAAACACTTAGGTGATAAATGAAGGTTACAGGTGTGACTGATTATCTGTATCATCTCTTGTGAAAGTTTTAGGTTCTTCCTGCCTCTTTCCGGAATCTCCCTAGCCCAGTTGTCTGTGCCGGGAAGTCTCCATTCACATGTTTAAGTGTAAACAAAGGGAGTGACTACCTGTGGCTGCCCACACCGTGGGGCAGGTGGAGACACACAGATCACAGCCGTGGGGCAGGTGGAGACAGACACAGAGGCCATGTGTTGCCCTCAGCAGGGTGGGCCAGTGAGGGAAGGCAGTGGCACTGCGAGATGGGAACAGGACAGGCTGCGGGGAGATCCCGCCCATGACGGGCGCACACTGCCGCATGTGACCCAACAAGACGCCTGTCAGGGCCCAGGGGCACTGGACGTGGAGGACTGGGCATTTGAGGAGAGCTCAGAGGGAGTTGTACAGGGCACAGGCTCAGGACCCAGGGCAGAAGCCTGCAAAAGTATACTACGGCCACAGACAGCACCCTGGGCAGTGGGAACACAGCTGAACACGGGTAGAGGCCCAGCACAGAGCCCAGGGCAAGAAGAGGAAGGTGCGTGGGTGTGGTCCCAGGTGCCCGTGTCAGAGGGGGAGGGGCCACATGGGTGCCCCGTCCTGCTGTCGGAAGGGCAGCTGGCAGGGAAGGCGGTCTGGATCCCTGTTGAATGTCTGCTTGTGATAGAGCATGTGAACAGCTCAGTGGCATTAAGCACAAGCCGAGGCAGGCTGCCCCGCTGCCACCTCTGTCTCGGGCACTGGCCCTTCCGTGTCCTGTCCGTGTGGCTGTCTCGGAGAAAGGTGGATGAAAGAGACAGGAGCCTCAGCCGGTCCCACTCATCACCCATGAACATTGGGATGTATTCCCGGCCCTTGGATCTCACACACTACTGCCTTCAGACCCTGCCCCACCCCCACCGCAGCCCCTGGGGGTCGGCCAGCAGCTGGTCACCCACCGCTGTGGGGAGCAGCCCGGACTGGACTGAGTTACTGGAATTAAGACTTATTCTATGCATCTGCTCTCCCACAATATGGCGCTGGGAGAGAAGTAAACAGCTTCCGCACAGCTGCCTCCAGTTCAACCAATAAACTGTAGGACTTGCTCCTGATTGGAGGAGAGCAGCGTACTCGGCGTGTGGGCAGCCGAGTTGGGATTGGCGGAGGAGGACTATAAAGGAGGAGAGAGACGGCATGCACCAGGAACATCTAAGGGGAACATCTACCTGAGGAACACCTGTGCAGCCCCCGAGAGAGCCGGCCGGCGGTGTGCCGCTCCCCTGCGGAAGTGGGGAATGTGGCCAGGGGGAACTGCCCTTCCACGGAGGTGGAAGGGATAGTAGCCAACCCGGGAAGAACCAGCAGCAAACCCGGGGAGGGCCGAGCAGACAAAAGAACAGCGCAGGGTCCTGTGTCGTTCCTCCGCGAAGACGGGGAGCGACACACCGCTACAAGTTTGTTTTCTCTGAATAAATGCGGCCTGGCTGTAGAGTCCTATTCTGCACCTCTTCCTAGCATTTATGGAGTCCCATGGGAGGAGGCACCAATCGTAACTCTTCCTAACACAGGCCACTCGGGTCTCTGTGTCATGGAAGAACTTCCACGAGGACAGGGCAGAGAGAAAAGCAACATTTATTTAAGTCAGAGACTTCCTGCCCAAGCCGCTGGGAGGGGCTCCTAGACGGGCTGGTGGTAGTGGGGTTTAAGTGCAATTCTGAGGCCCTGACTTGGAATCTTGCCCTGCCCGGCCGAGGGAGGTGGCTTGTTTTCACAGTAGCCTGGGAGCTCAGAGGGTGGAATGTCACGCCCTGGCTATTCTCAGGAGAAAACTGGAAGCTCCCTAAAGGCAGCTTTTGGGGAAAAGCGTGCAGTGGGCTCCAGCACTTGGACCTTGCTAGGGATAAACTGGGGCAGCAGCTTGCACCCTCTTAGGGAGAGCCCCCCCCTTCTCTTCCACCCCACCAGGACCAACCCATCACAGAACCAGCATCCTCCAGGCTCCCCACCAGGTAGCAGGGGTTAGAATCCCCTTCCTCTTTAAGGCTGGTGACGCCCACCCCCAGGGGTGCTGCCTGGAGCTGGGTGTTTGGTCTCAGACGGGAGCAGACAGACACCAGACACCGAGCTGCCGCTGCTCTTGGGGCAACAGGGCAAGGCTGCAAGAAGCGGGGTGTGTGTGTGTGTGCGCGCGTGTGTGCGCTCCTGAGTCAGGAACAAGGAAGCCCCCAGGCTGCTCTGAGCCCCCTGTGGGGAGACCTCCAGTGGCTCAGCTCAGGCAGCTCTGCCCCTTGGCCCAGAGACTGGGATGGCCGAGACCTTTGACCAGAAGCTGATAGCTCCCAAGCAGTGTGGCCCAGCCTCTGTCCACTGTGGTGGAGCACAGAGCCGCCACAGCTCCCTGCGGGCTGCCCTCGTCCTGTTGCATCCACTGGTCAGCTAAAATAGAGAACTACAAAAACCAGTGACAGTCACACACGAATTTTATTGAAAATGAGAAGCAAATGAGAGGCAGGGTAACCGATCGGGACCGGCACTCCTTACCCCTCAACAGCAGGTTACACAGCTCTGTATAGTATTCTGTCCACTGGGCTCACAATTTCGAACTGGGCCCCTGGTATGCAGTGAACAATAAAAAGGAAAGCCAGAATATGGCTGTAAGATAACAGCTAACAATAACAAACCCAATAACAGATCCAAGTTACGGTTGTAAGGTAACAGTGAGGGCACATTTCAACCTAGTTCCTGGAAATTTGGGCCCACATAGTCTCTTTCTTTTAAAGGATTTTATTTATTTACTTGACAGTGAGAGAGACAGAGATAAAGGTCTTCCATCCATTGGTTCACTCCCCAAATGGCCGCAACGGCTGGAACTGCGCCTATCCGAAGCCAGGAGCCAGGTGCTTCTCCTGGTCTCCCATGTGGGTGCAGGGCCCAAGCACTTGGGCCATCCTCCACTGCACTCCCGGGCCACAGCAGAGAGCTGGCCTGGAAGAGGAGCAACCGGGACGAAAGCCGACACCCACACGGGATGCCGGCGCCGCAGGCGGAGGATTAACCTATTGCGCCACGGCACCGGCCCCCACCGGCTTCACAAGAGACACCCTTAGTCGTTAGCAAGCAAAGCTAATATGTACAGAAGCAAGAGATCTACAGTTAGCTTTTAGCCACGCTCACTCCATTTTGATTCTGATTCTACAGTCCCAGTGCCTCCAAGTCACTAGTTGCCTCCCAGATCCTTGGGGCTCAGAGGTCACAGAGGTGTCCTTGGCCTGAGGGCATCAGGCTTCAGCATGTGTGGATGGGGCAGAGGGGAGAAGCACCTGACCTGGGTGGAGAGCAGGGGCAGAGTCCTGCAGCCTCAGGCTACAGCTCCCCACCCAGCCACACGCCAAAGGCAGGGCTCAGGGTCAGAGCTTGGTGGGACACCAGAGGGAGGGCCCAGCAGTGCTTTGAGCCCAGCAGGCAGAGATAAGGCTGAGGGGTTCAAAGGCCAGGAAGCTGGCCCGGAGGGGCAGGGCTGGGAACCCTCCCTGGGCCTGGAGCTCAGGACCGGCCCTGACCTCCTGACCCAGGTGCTCCCAACCAGAGAGCGGCCAGGCCAAGGTCCCCGGCTCCCCCTCCTGTTTGTGCTGGGGCTCTGGCTGGTTCCTGGAGACTTGGGCGGGGGAGCATGACTCAGCAGGCAGCATTTGCCCGGGAGACCCCAGCCCAGCACCTAGGGAGAGGCTTCCCCACGCCCATCCTAACAGGGGCTCCTGAGGGCACAGGGGCTTCCTAGGCCACCAGCGCTGGGGGCAGTAGGAAGGGGGTGAAGCAAGGGGCCTGGGGCCGCGTGTGATCGCGTGGCATCTACCACCTCCGTCCCAGGACCCCAGCTTGGGGCCAGCCGCCTGGGTCCCAAGGCAACTCCCTCGGGGAGCAGAGGGGTGGCCCCACCAGCTGCCTCTGGGGGTGGCAGGTGGGGGAGCAGGTGCCAAGGCCACCCACCTGCAGGGAAGAGACCCGGTCTCACCAGACACATCTGAGGCTCCACGGCAGCCCCAGGGAGGACCTGCTACTGGAATGGCTAATCCGGCGCCTCCAGCAGCCAATCACAGAGCCCTGCAGCCAATACCTGGGAGAGGTCTCCCATGGCCCAGCCCCAGCCTGGCCCCAGGCAGCCCCAGTGACCCAGACACCCACAGCCTCCAGAAGGCGCTGAGCAGCAGGCCGACGATGGCGGTCCCGGCGTCCCCGGCCTGCCTCCGGCCGGGGCTGCTCCTGGCCCTGCTGGTGGCGGTGGCCTCGGCGGCCCAGCACCCCCGTCTGCTGAACCTACTCACCTCCAGCCAGGGCGCTCTGGACCGGGAGGCGCTGGGCGGCTTGTTAAATACGCTAGCGGCCCGTGTGCACTGCGGCGGGCCGTGTGGAAAGGTAACTGCCCCACCCGACGGCCCCCGGCCCCAGCCCCTTCCCGCCTGCTCCACCCTGTGTGCCGCAGCAGAGGGCCCGGGCAAACTCCAGGAGGCGGGCCTCGGGCGCCCAGGAATCCAGGGGCCATCAAACTGGTGGTGGCTCCTGGGGAAAGCTGGAGACGGGGAGCCCAGCCAGGGACGCCCTGTGTGCACACAACAATCCGCCGGCCTAAGACGGCCATGCGGTGTGGACTCCCGGGGTGGGGACCACTGTGTGCCCTGAGGGGGTGCTGCAGCTCCTTGCACACAGACCCACAGCCCGGCCTGGCCCCTGCCCACCCTCTGCCCACAGTGCCCGTCTGTGGAGGATGCCCTGGCCCTGGGCGAGCCCGAGGCACCGGGGCGGGCCCTGGAGTCCCGGCACATCGCCCGCCTCAGCGCAGCAGCCGCCCTCTTCCTGAGCAACCCAGAGGGCACCTGTGCCGACATCCGGGCTGGCCGCTGGGCCGCCCGCGCCGATGGACTCCTGGCCCAGCTCGAGGGCCCCGGGGCCCTGACCGCGGGCCTGAGCCGGCTGCTGCGGAGGATCGAGGACCCCATTGACCGCCAGGCCACTGGGGAGGAGGTCAGGGCATGGGCAGGCCTGGTACAGAATGGATGAGAAGGGCCGACGGCCAGTGGAGGGGCCGCCTGGGGGTCCTGGCTGTGGCCACACAGGGCACCTGGGGCACGCCGGGGAGGTGGCGGGGGGCTGGGGTCCAAGGTGGTGTTCACTGGCAGCCCCTGGGAGGAGAGGGCTCACAGGAGCGGACGCCAAGGGAGGGGCTGGTGGGGGAGACCCGGGGTGCCAGGGCAGGCGGCCAGCCCAGGCGCCGGGGGAGGCTGAGGCCATCTCCTCCCCCAGGCCTGCACGGGTGTCCCTCAGCTGCTGGAGGAGGCGGTAGGGGCAGGGGCCCCCGGCAGCCCTGGCGCGGCCCTGGCCGCCCTGCTGGACCACGCCAGGAGCGGGTCCTGCTTCCGCGCCATGCCGGACCCCCAGTACTTCGTGGAGTTTGTGTTCCAGCACCACAGTGGCGAGGCGCCCAACCTCACCCTGGCCGGTGAGACCCGGGTCCCTCGGGAGGGCGAGGCGGGGCCGGAGCCGGCGGCCGGCGCTGACTCTGGCCTCCCCGCCAGAGCTGGAGACGCTGATGCACACGCTGGGGCTGGGTGCTGAGGCCCACAGTGACCACAGGAGTCTGGGCAGGGCGGCCGGCCCCCAGGAGCCTGGTGCCCTCAACAGCAGCTCCCACGAGTGGGACGTGGTGAGTGGCCTGGGGCCCCGGGGGGCAGATGGGCACCCACGGGGCTGCTAAGGCCCTGATCGCTGTCTCCCCCCACCCCGCAGGTGTGCCTGAGTGCCAGGGACGTGATGGCCGTGTACGGGCTGTCGGAGCAGGAAGGGGTGAGCCCGGAGGGCTGGGCCCAGCTGAGCCCTGCCCTGCTCCAGCAGCAGCTGAGCGGGGCCTGCAGCCCCCAGCCCACCACCTCCACCAAGGACCAGCTCAGCCAGAGCGAGCGTGAGTGCCCGCCCAGCTGCCGCCGTGCCCCAGGGTGCCCCAGGGTGCCGGTTGTCCCAGAGGAGGGGCAGGGGTGAGGGGCCAGCCATGCGCGCCCCCTCACGCGGCCCTGCTCCCCAGAGTACCTGTACGGCTCCCTGGCCACCCTGATCATCTGCCTGTGCGCGGTCTTCGGCCTCCTGCTGCTGAGCTGCACCCACTGCAGCGTGGCCACCCACTACGTGCTGCAGACCTTCCTGAGCTTGGCCGTGGGCGCGCTCACCGGCGACGCCCTCCTGCACCTGACGCCCAAGGTCTGCCCGCCCCCACCCCCGCGCCCCCACCCCGGGACGCCGCCCCAGCCTCTCTCCCAGCCCAGCGCCCCCTGCTCCCCAGGTGCTGGGCCTGCACACGCACGGCGAGGGGGACCACGCTCACGGCCACACGGACAGCGGGGATGGTGTCGGCTCGGAGCCCACCTGGCGCCTCCTGGCTGTGCTCGGCGGCCTCTACGCCTTCTTCCTGTTCGAGAATCTCTTCAACCTCTTGCTGCCCAGGGACCCCGAGGTCAGGCCCTGGCAGGCACTGGACCTCACAGGTTGGGGGGAGGGGCTCCACAGGACCTGAGCCGCCGTCCCCCACAGGACCCGGAAAAGGATGCACCCTGCAGCCATGGCCACGGCGGCCACAGCCACGGCGTGTCCCTGCAGCTGGCCCCCAACCAGCTCCGGCAGCCCAAGCAGCCCCATGAGGGTTCCCGCGCCGACCTGGTGAGTGGGACCCCTGCGGCCCCCCACCCTGCTTGCGGGGACCAGACCCCTGCCCAAGGCCCTCAGCAGCTCCCCTTCCCTCCCCTGCCCCCTCAATCCTTCTCCCAGGTAGTGGAGGACAGCCCGGAACTGCTGAACACGGAGCCACGGAGGCCGAATCCAGGTGAGGCCTGAGGGGGGCGGGGCAGGCCCAGGACGCAGGGCTGGGGCTGGGGCCAGGCCCGCACGACCGTGTCCGCCGCCCCGCAGGGCTCAGGCTGCTGCCCTATCTGATCACGCTGGGCGACGCAGTGCACAACTTTGCCGACGGGCTGGCCGTAGGCGCCGCCTTCGCATCCTCCTGGAAGACGGGGCTGGCCACCTCGCTGGCCGTGTTCTGCCACGAGCTGCCCCACGAGCTGGGTGAGCGGCGGGGCGGGCGGGGCGGGGCGGGGCGGGGCGGCGGGCGGGGCGGGGCCGGCGGCGGGCGGGGCTCTCTCACGACCCCGCCCCCTCAGGGGACTTCGCGGCCTTGCTGCACTCCGGGCTGTCCGTGCGCCGCGCGCTGCTGCTGAACCTGGCCTCGGCCGTCACGGCCTTCGTGGGACTCTACGTGGCGCTCGCGGTGGGAGTCGGCGAGGAGAGCGAGGCCTGGATCCTGGCGGTGGCCACCGGCCTCTTCCTCTACGTGGCGCTCTGTGACATGGTCAGGGAGGTGGCCGGGAAGGGGCCGCCCAGGGCACCGGGCGGCTGAAGGGCTGGCTGCTGAGCCCGCGCCCGCTCCTCCTCAGCTCCCGGCCATGCTGAACGTCAGGGACAAGAGGCCCTGGCTCCTCTTCCTGCTGCACAACGTGGGCCTGCTGGGCGGCTGGACCGTCCTGCTGCTGCTCTCGCTGTACGAGGACCACATAACCCTCTGAGACCCCCGCCCGGTCTCCGGCGCGGCCCGGCCCTGTGTCCCTGCCCCGTCTCGTCCCTGGCCCTGCCCCCTGCCCGGTCTCCGGCGCGGCCCAGCCCTGTGTCCCTGCCCCGTCTCCAGTCCCTGGCCCTGCCCCCTGCCCGGTCTCAGGCCGCGGCCCTGCGCTGTGTCCCTGCCCCGTCTCGTCCCTGGCCCTGCCCCCTGCCCGGTCTCAGGCCGCGGCCCTGCGCTGTGTCCATGCCCCGTCTCCAGTCCCTGGCCCTGCCCCCCCGCCCGGTCTCTGGCCCCAGCCCTGCCTTACTGCCTTGTGCCGGTTTGGTCTCTGGCACCCTGGCAACTTTGAGCCCCGGGCGGCTGAAAAGTCCCTGGCCTGCAAGCGCCCCCCCCCCCCCCCCCCCCCCGCTGTGCCCCAGCCCCAGCCTCAATAAAGAAACTCTGCTTTGGAGCCCAGCCCCACTCTGGCCAGCACCAGCTCCCCCGCGACTCACCGGCCTGGCCCCCGGGACGAGGGCTGCAGTGGACACCAGGCCTGCAGGTGGCCAGGCGAGTCGGCCAAGGGGGCCCCCGGCCTCCGGCTGGCCACAAGCAACAGAGTCGCTGCTCGCAGCTCTGGAGGCTGCGTGAGGGCCAGGGTGCCGGTGGGTGGGGCTCGCTCCCTTGGAGGGCGCCTGAGTGCTCAGGGTTGTCGGGCGTGCGGCAGCAGGTCAGCGGGGCGCCAGCCTTGGAAAGGATTCCACTCATCCGTCCCGGATTTCTGGCCCCACCCCACTGCCGGTGGCCTCACCTTAACTCGTGCCATCTGTCGCCGTCCCGTTTGCAAACAGCCACATTCTGAGGTGCCAGGTCAGGGCTTCGCCATGTCCTTTGATGTGCACCGTGCAACGCATGAGCAGCTGCTCGTGGCCCAACACGGCTGCCAAGGCTCTAGCATCACATGAGTTCTCCTGGCATCAGAAAGGCGGGTGGAGAGAGCAGAGGGGGACGGGGCCCCGGGGCACCAGATCACACCTGTTTTCCGCTCAGTACCTTGGGTGCGGGAGCAGGAAAGACATTGTGCCAGGCCCCCAGGGCGGCTGGAACCCGGTGCAGAAGACGGGTGCTATTCCGTCTTCTCCAGGGAGCTGGCGCTGTCGTGCAGGTTAAGCCGCTGCTTGCGACACCGGCTTCCCGTGCCAGAGTGCGGCTCCGCTGCCCATGCTGCTCCAGCTCCCTGCTAAGGCGATGGCCCAAGTGCTCGGATCCCTGCCACCCACGTTCGAGACCGGGATGGCACTCCTGGCTCCTGGCTTCTGCCTGGCCCAGCCTGAGCAATTCAGGGAAAACCCAGTGGATGGGAGATATTCTCTCTCTCTCTGTAACTCTGCCATTCATAGATACATAAGTCTTAGGAAAACAAAACCTGGGGCTGGCGCTGTGGCAAAGCGGGTAAAGCCACCTGCAGTGCCAGCATCCCATATGGGCACCAGTTCGAGTCCCAGCTGCTCCACTTCTGATCCAGCTCTCTGCTATGGCCTGGGAAAGCAGCAGAGGATGGCCCAAGTGCTTGAGTCCCTGCACCTGTGTGGGAGACCCAGAAGAAGCACCTGGCTCCTGGCTTCAGATGTGCCATTTGGGGAGCGAACCAGTGGATGGAAGAAACCTCTCTCTCTCTCTCTGCCTCTGCCTCTCTGTAACTCTGCCTTTCAAATAAATAAATACAAAAAAAAAAATCTTTAAAAAAAAGTCTCAGCACACAGGATCCAGGACTGTGCAGCGGGGGGGTGGGTGTCTCGGGTGCAGCTCAGGGGATGCCACCTGCCTGACCACGCCAGAGGCCGTCATCCGCCGCCTGCACGTTCCGGCTTCACTTGTCCAGGTCAGGGTGCTGGGTCCCAGCAGCACCGGGAGCTGGCACTCAGCATCCCTGGGGGCGCCTTGGGTAACCCCAGCAGCCGGCCCTCAGGGCTGGGGGCGCCGAGCGAGACGGAGCCGCCACCCCCGGCCGCCAGGGGCCGCTGTCGCCGCTCGCGCCGCGCAAGAGCCCGGAACCTCGGCGCGGGGCTTCCGGGTGAGGCCGGACCGAGTCCGCCGGCGTCCCGGGTCCCCCGGTGGTCGGCTGCAACGGCCGGGTGGGCGGGCGGCGCTCGCGCGCGGGCCGTGCGCTCCCGCCGCCATGTACGCTGTGTACAAGCAGGCGCACCCGCCCACCGGCCTCGAGTTCTGCATGTACTGCAACTTCTTCAACAACAGCGAGCGCAACCTCGTGGTGGCCGGCACCTCGCAGCTCTACGTGTACCGCCTGAACCGCGACGCCGAGGTAGGCCGGCCGAGCCGCGCCGGCGCCCGCGCCCGCGCCCGCACCCGCACCCGCACCCGCACCCGCGCCGCCTGGACGCGCGCGTCCGCACCCGGCCCGCCGGGGCCCTCAGCGCCGGGGGAGGACGGCGGGCCCGCACCGAAGTGCAGGGAGCGTGTGGCGGGGGAGCCGCAGGCCCCGGAGGCTCCTCGCGGAAGGCGGCAGCTTCCCAGCTGTTTTCAATTTTATTTCCCTTTAAGTTGACGTAGGGAGAGAGAACTCCCGCCCGCCGCCTCCCAGATGCCGGCGGCCCCCGGGGTCGGGAGCCTGGAGCTCGCCTCGGCCGCCCACGTGGGTAGCGGGGCCGGGCCCCCCTGCGCCTTCGCGGCACGCTGGGGTCGGGCCGGCGGCTCCTGGAGGGGATGCGGGCGCCCGGGCGGGAGCAGCCCGTGCTCAGGGCGAGCTGAGGGTGCGTGCGATGAGTGGGACACGCACGGCTGTGCCAGGGCGCGTCGTGAGAGCTCTGAACCCAGCCCGTCCCAAAAGCAAGCTCGCCTCCCGCCTCCGTGAGCTCGGCACGTGGCTTCAAGGGCAGAGTCTCCATCTGCGGGGATGTGGCGGGCAGGGTGCGCCTGGACTGGGCTCCGGGTGTCTGGGGGTTGGACTAGGGGGGTGGGAGATAACCTGCCACCTCCCCCACCTCCCTCTGTTGCTCTGCTTTTGAAATGGAGAGAAGTAAAAAGCTGGAGAGGGGCCGGCGCCGCGGCTCACTAGGCTAATCCTCCGCCTTGCGGCGCCGGCACACCGGGTTCTAGTCCCGGTCGGGGCGCCGGATTCTGTCCCGGTTGCCCCTCTTCCAGGCCAGCTCTCTGCTGTGGCCCGGGAAGGCAGTGGAGGATGGCCCAAGTACTTGGGCCCTGCACCCCATGGGAGACCAGGAGAAGCACCTGGCTCCTGCCTTCGGATCAGTGCGCTGCACCGGCCACAGCGCACCGGCTGCGGCGGCCATTGGAGGGTGAATCAATGGCAAAGGAAGACCTTTCTCTCTGTCTCTCTCTCTCACTGTCCACTCTGCCTGTCAAAAAAAAAAAAAAAAAAAGCTGGAGAGGGCTTCTTGCAGACACGGGGGCAGGTGAGGGCATCGTGCGTCTGAGCTGCCTGGAAGACTTTGTCCTTTCTAATGGGGTCAGACCTTGTCGTGTAATCGGATTTCTACTATACGAGGTCACAGCCCACTGGAGCCCATTCCTGTCTGCTCGGCGTGTACTGAGCGCTTGCCGTGGGCAGGCGTCCGGGGAGACGCTGGCGAGCACCAGGCCCCCCCATCCCGGGGAGCTCGACAGGCAGGGTGGGGAGTAGGGAGCCAGGGCCGCGCTAAAGCCTCCTTGGGAGGCAGGGGTCCCGGGTGTGGGGCAGAGGGAGCGAGGAGGGGAGAGCAGAGGCGCAGGGGCTGGGCTGGCCGGGCACTGGCCCTGGTTCAGAGCCTTCGCTGGCTGGAGCCTCAGAGGTGGTGGGGCACCCTGGGGAGAGACTGGCATGTGGGGAGGCGCGGCTCGGGCCACTGTCTGGACTTGTGTCACTGTTTGGGGTGTAACCGGTGACCCCGAACTCAGACTGTGGTTTAGAGTCTGAGGGTCAGGAATCGGGGGAGGTTGGCTGTGTGGCTACTGTTCAGGGTCCCGGCTCTGCTTCCCGCTCACCCGCACGCTGTCCCGGGCAGCAGGCAGCAGAGCCGGTGGAGCTGCTCTGTGTCGGGGGGTAGGCCTGTTCTGCGGCTGTCTCAGCTGCGCTGCACCTCAGAGGCCACTCCTGTTGTCCCCAAGCCTGGTACCGTGTGGATGGCACTACCCAGGAAGCAGCCTGGCCTGGGCCCTGCGGGAGGGGCCGCGGAGGTCTGGCTGGCCGCAGTCCACTGTGGGGGTGGGGAGCTGGTGCACCCCCAGAGGCAGCACCCACACTGCTCTGTAGACCCAGGGTTCTTCACAAGACAGGGGCCTGGGTGGGGCTGTAGTGGGTCCTGTCACTGCCCTGGGCCTGGGGGGGCCGGCCAGGCCAGGCGTGAGCTCGCTTGGTTTTCCTGGCAGCATCATGGTTTGGCTTCTCTGGCGCTCAGGGCTGTGGTTGTCACGGCCTGGGAGGGCGCCTCCAGGGAGTGGGCCAGGCTCGGTCAGCTGGTGTCCAGCACAGCGAGACTGGAGGAGTCCTCCTTTCTAATGGTCACGGCGCCTGGGCCCATGCTGAGACCCGTGGTGCAGGTGCTGGGGCGGCAGGGGTGGGGCCCCCCTGGGGCGAGGGGATGAGTGACCCCTTGCTGCCCTCTGTCCTTCCTCTAGGCTCAGACCAAGAATGACAGGAGCACAGGTGAGTGTAGGGTGCCCCTGAGGGCGGGGGGTGGTCGGGGCACCTGGCTGAGACCTGGACACACCGCCCCTGCGCAGAGGGGAAGGCCCACCGGGAGCGGCTGGAGCTGGTGGCCTCCTTCTCCTTCTTCGGCAATGTCATGTCCATGGCCAGTGTGCAGCTGGCGGGGGCCAAGCGGGACGCCCTGCTGCTCAGCTTCAAGGATGCTAAGGTGAGCGCTGGGCCTGGGGTGGGGCCTGGCCAGCGGGGCGGGCAGGCAGGCCACGGGCATGCTCTCCCTGCAGCTGTCGGTGGTGGAGTACGACCCGGGAACCCACGACCTGAAGACCCTGTCCCTACACTACTTCGAGGAGCCCGAGCTGCGGGTAGGGGCCCCTCTGCCCACTGTGCTGCCCAGGTGCCCCAGGCCTGGCTGGCGCCCCTGCCCCCTACTCCTGGGCTGGCGTCCCTGCCCACTTCCCCCTGAGCCCAGCTGACACCCCTGCTCCCTACTCCCGGGCTGATGCCCCTGCTCCCTACCCCCTGGGCTGATGCCCCTGCTCCCTACTCCCGGGCTGATGCCCCTGCTCCCTACCCCCTGGGCTGATGCCCCTGCTCCCTACTCCCGGGCTGATGCCCCTGCTCCCTACCCCCTGGGCCCGGCTGACACCCCTGCCCCCTACCCCCTGGGCTGATGCCCCTGCTCCCTACCCCCTGGGCCCGGCTGACACCCCTGCCCCCTACTCCCGGGCTGATGCCCCTGCTCCCTACCCCCTGGGCTGATGCCCCTGCTCCCTACTCCCGGGCTGATGCCCCTGCTCCCTACTCCT